CTTTTTAACTGCAGGCAGATATAGGCTTACATTAATGGTACAGTACAAATATTTGGAGCGTCCCTTATTCTGTCCCTTATTTTCTTAAAGAATAAACACTTATTTTCTACAAGACTACAATAAACACTATTTTCTTAAAGAATAAAAGATAAAGAATCACAATTGATTATGACCTTATTTTCCATTTCTGAAGTTAATTGGCAACCCTAATGATGACGTAATTATCTTTTGACTCCCTGACAGCAGCACCTTGCTCAAAAAAAACAAAAAAACAAAAAAAGTGGGCCGGTCTAAGGCATGAAACTCCAGGGTTGAAAATGAGTCCCACTCCGGCCCTGACTTACAGTGTAAGGCTTGACACCTTCCATTGTCAGTTGACCCTTCACAAAGACCCGCCCCCTTCATTAATGTTGCTATGTCTGACAAGCCATGGCGCTGAATAAAAAAATGGCAGATTCAGCGTTATGATTGGTCAGGTTGCCTGTCAATCAAACTCCCTACTAAGGGTCAGCTGCACTCATTTCTGTTGTGTGTCCTCAATCTGGCAACACGTGTGAGCATCAAATCTGAGGAGGAGGGGCGGGAGAAACAAGTCTTTCCAGTATTTTGAATTTGGACTGCAGTACCTATTCCAACTGCTAGCTGTCAATGTTACATACTGCACCTTTAATTGTGATGACGTCTCCTTTCTAATTGGCTCGACAAGATGATACAGTTTAGTCTGAGGGTAGACCCTTCGAAGGGAGTAGGGCATTGGAATGAGTCCTTCAGTCCTTAATGCAGCGTAAGTGTTGTTAAATGAATCAGATAAGTATATAATTTATATAACTTCTTTCGCTCCTGACTGAATCAGTGTTGTCGAATGAATCGGTTGAATAAATGATTCAGTGACCAGTTCATACAGACTGTTAGTTGTTATGTTCCTGAACAAGTTTTGAATGAATCAGTTGAGTGATTCAGTACTGTATATTCAATGTTGTACACTGATGTATAAACTGATAACCACTTATAACTGAATGTGAACATTATTGTTTTAACTACAGCCTCAGTCTAGGGAAACACAAATACTTAATATCTGATATCAGTCTATGTGGAAGGCCTCAGCAATAATATATTGCCTGACTAAAATAGCAAGTTCAGTTTCATAAAGCACAAGGAGTATTTTGAACGTTCTTCATTTACAGTAAACACCATGAATCAACATGAATGATACAACCCACATTCTCAGTAGAAAACAATAATAACAAACAATAAATGGGAGGAATCTTTAATATCAGAACCATCCATCTCTTTGTAATAAAAATAATGCAAATGAAGGAGTGTAGCATCGTATATTATGCCAAACACGGCAGCAATATCATAACCATGACTATCAGCTAAATCCTTCAAGATGATCTCACAGATACGAGAAAAAGACACAACAGCAAAAGAGAGCATACAGAGAAAGAGAATGGGGAAAAAACTCTTTACAAGAGAGACTTGAAAGCAAACGAGAATGTTTCTAAGCATAGCAGGGATTTACTGGTGATGCCTTAAATTAAGATACCAAGGTTAGAAATGAAGCAATAATGCCAGAGAAAAGTAACAAGAAAAATTTATTTTTCTATTCAATATTAGTTTTGTTATATTCAAGCCCCTTTCTGGTCTATAGGCACATATAATATCACATAAAATATCTGTTGATGCCGAGTTAATTTTACGGGTAAGAGGTAATAAATTCTCAATCCAATTATTTAGATTGAGAAATTATGTTAGGGAATTTATGTATTTGACATCCGATTTTATATACGGTTAGAAAAAAGCCCTCATAATAATAAACAATACACCTGGCACATATTGGGAAATTTCATTTTATCCATCAACAGCTACATAGCACCCCATATCATACAATGAGTCTATGCGTGCACACACACACACACAGACACAGAAACATATGTAGTCAGCATGTCGCAATGTCAGCAGTGTCTATTGTCATGCAATGTTCTGTATATATATCCTTTCAGCTGTGTTATTGTGAAACAAACAAACAAACAAAAAAAATACAGACCATACGCTGACAAACAAACTCAAGCAGCCGAATATATCACTACAATCCACCACAGCATTTTCACAAAAACCTTTCTGGGTTGAGTGAACAGCAGATGTTGAGCAGGTTTAGGGTCATCGCTACAATTCACAGGGCCCAGGATGACATTTTTGTGGGCCCCCTTTTCCTTCAGATCCAATGAACAGACTATATACCATAGCTGTTCTCCACCAGCGATGATGAAATGATGTATATTGAACAACAAAATGCATGCAATTTTATCTACAGAAAGGTTGGGCTGCTCTTGAGAGTTCTAAGATGAAAACCATTCATTCCGACTCCCAGAATACATCTCTCTAATGCCCTCTCGCTCTCAGAGCGCTGACAACCAGCCAGAGAAACGCAGCCAACTAGTGAAAGCAAGAGAGAGCTAAATAAAATGATGGAGGGAGAACCAGGAGACGTGAATGTGATGATTCTCACGGGGGTGATATCAGGTAGTAGCTCTCTTGATGACACCTGATGACTACTGAACTAAGAACTGTGGGTAATAGCTGAGACTGTTCGGCTCCACCTGTCAGACAACCTGCAGTTAGTGTGTCCGCTGAATCCAGAGCCACGTATCTGCACCACAGTCTTTATGGATAGGAAATGGGGAAGTGAGCACCACATAGAGTAGTATGATAGAAAATCATAACTTGTTGCAAAATTACCTAATACGACAAATCTGTGGATAAATAAAGTTGAGGGTGTGAGATTTTGAGTGCCCATAAGGGACTGTTTTCTCAATTCCCAAGTAACTGTGGGAAACCGAACAGGTTCTACCTTGCTTACTTTGGCTGGACGGGTATGAGCAGTTGCTTTTAGACCTGAAGAAGCTCAGTGAAAGCAATGATTCTGGTGAGCTTTCATTAATCTTTTACAGAGACAGGAATGATTTAAAGCAAAGATAAGCACTAATATTATCAACATGTGGCACTGTAGAGCTGAATCAATGAGAAGACAATGAAGCCACAACAATAGAGCAAATAACAACACAGATTTACAGTGAAAGCAAGTTCATTTTGTGCTGTTTGCCTTCAGAACTTCCTTTAGATCTGTAGCCAGCAGAATTGAATCTTTTGAACAAGAACAGAGAACCAGACACCGTTTAAACAAGGTGCACCGTCTCATGGATGAAGTTCATGCTCTTTATTTTCTCTCAGAGTGGAGCTTATCTAAGACATATTGAGAAAACAGTAGTGAAATGGTAAAAATCTTGAATTTGAAAGTAAAGCACAGAGACTCTTGTATGCAGTGAAATGTAAAGCACATCTTGCTTACCAGAGGATTTTAATGTGTGTGAAACAGGCATATGTATATTCATGTGGAGAAGCAGAACCCTCATCTTTAACTTTTTCCACTAATTGTATTGTAGAACTGTGCTGTAAACTTGTAACCATTGTTAAAGCATACATTCCATGCACTCCCGATTTGGCTAGAGAGCCATAGACGTCACTTTTAATATATATTCACCTTCAATTCAAGGGCCCAGAGGAACTAATTGGCTATTAAGTCATTTTTGGCCCTTGAGCGGTATGGTAAACATCATCCATTGCATCCTTGTAATTCAGCTGCGGTTGGCCAGCAACACCAGAATCAGCTGTATTTTTTCATCATGAGAGCTTGGAGACCTTGACTACAACCAAATGTGTTTTTTTTTGCTGCTGCAAAACATGCATAAGCCATCTGAAAAGTGTCAGATAATAAGGAAAGCATGCAAACTTTGCAAAATGATGAATCAGTAAAACAATATGCATGTTATGATCTTTCATTTATTTCTGTTATAAGGAAAATACAACAGTATTCCATAAAAGCAGAGGTGGAGAATCCATAGGGCTTTGCCCAATAGTAATCATAACAGAGCACTGAATCCTGGGAAACTCCAGGATTGTATTTACACTGTGCAATAACAGAAACCTCAATGGTTAAAGCAGATAAAACAGACACACGCAGTTCCCTTTCCATCATAATATCTATAGAAATTCAAAGAAACTACACCAGTCTCTTTCCACTCAGTCTCCTTGCTCTGGATTTCCGTCGAGGACAGTGCAGGGTTTCAACCCTCAGTCCATTTTCCACCTGGGATGCATATGATGTGGTAGCCATCTATTAAAATGTGACATTGCATTTGGTTTTGTGAGGGGAAACAGAGCACACAGTTACAGGCAGCCAATTTGAAAGGTTCATTCAAGTGTACATGATAAAAGCTGTATCTCAGACCAGCACCAAAAATTTACGCAAAAGCAGACACATCATAGAGTCTTAAGACAGACTGAAGAAGAAGATGAAGATGCCTTTGAGCAGAGGAACTGTTCTGAGTTACTCTGCCAGACTGAAGTACTGGGGAAAAGCAAAGGGAGGTATGTGTTTGAACTACAGCCAACTGATATGGTCTCCTCGTAAAGCACACACACACACACACACACACACACACACACAAACAAACACACACACACACAGACACAGACACAGACACAGACACAGACACAGACACACACACACACACACACACACAGAAGTCTCTCCTCTAAACAGAGTGCAAAGCCTAAGAAGTCTTGCTCTCACCATTAAACATAAGATCTGAAGATACGCTGCAGTTTAGAAGTTCACGTATTTTACATCTTTATACATTTCAGAACAAACCTGTCAGTGAAGACACAGGTTTCTTAAACTAATGCTGAGTTCAACATGAAAGCAAGAAAAAGAGATAAAACAGAACAATACATAGAAAACAGACTGGATAGACAGAGTGATAGAAAGAATGACAGATAGAATGATTGATCGATCGATAGATAGATGATAGACAAAGAAATACATAGAGCAATTGATAGGACACAAAGTGATGGATAGGGCAATAGATAGAATGATAAAATAATAGATAGAACAATCGATAGAATGATAGATAGAACGACAGATAGAACGATAGAGTGGTAGAACGATAGCTAGATAGATAGATGATAGATGGATAGATGACAGATAGATAGATAGATGGATGGATGGATAGATGTCTCTTTGGAGGGAAAACTATGTAGATGCTGTTCCAAAATGCAAAAGCGTCACAGCCTGGGGATATCAAAAGTATCTAGAAATATATAACTACAACAGTTATGACATACAGACAACCAAGCTTAAAAAAAAATACAAATATTAAAAATAAAAAGATAAATGACGGTCTCTCTGCCCTTTCCTTATGTCCCCTCTCCCAGTCTGCCGCCACCCTTCCCCCCCTTAACATATCATATTAAATAAGGCACAAATTTACACAAACAATTAAAATTTGGCTAGTTATTGTTCATCTATTTACACAAAACAGTTTTAGTGTTAATATCGATACATTTTAACACAATATAGGAATAACTCAGGACAAGAGTAAGAAAACTTTTTGTTCTGGACTCTTTTGCCGTGTCCTATCCAGGTGCGACCTGTTTCAGTGTGTCAAACTGCTTCATGGCAGAGCCAATGATGTTTATGGAGCAGAAGTTTAGACCAATCAGATTTCACTGTGGGTGGAGCTATATATAATAGAACACAAAGTGGTCACGGATGGTTTAAGACAAAAACTTAAGATTTACAAAGAAGAGATAGTTTTATCGGTTTATCACACCTGGATAGGACACAGTGTTTGATGTTTCCAATGTAAGAGATTTAAAAATTTGGATTCACTTTCACCAATTAAATGATTTTAACAGAGGAGACAAAGGTTAAATACTGGAGCACCTCACACTGATTCTGGAGCGTATAGACAAAGAATACATTCTTCTTAGGTATATACATACATCTCCTTTATAACACTAAGACTGATTCACCTCACTTGGGCCCGAGCGTTCAGATGTAACTGTTTCTCTAGCCATATTTAATCATCTGAATTTAAACTTTATTGAGTTTGAGTTGTTATAACTGCATTACACTGGAGTGGACAGAATGGGGTGGAGATTATTGCTTATGGATTTTACAGAGATCACTTCAAGTTGTGTGGGCATTTCAACAGCACATCTGCTTTCAAAATAAGGCGAAGGAACTTGAGGGGGCTAAACCATTTCAGTAATCTAGATACATACACTGGGTATGTATATGTACACACACATACATATATATATATATATATATATATATATATATACACACACACACGCACACACGCATGCATATATACACATTTCTAATTGGAATCAGCACAGTTCATCAACTCTACATCAACAGAATAGTTAAGCCAAAGCAAGAAAGATCAGAATATCAAACAAGGTGTGTACACACTTGTTTGGATAAAAGTTCAGGTACAGAGTTTTGGATCAGTGACACCTGTCTAGACAGTCCAAAGTAACACCATAAAGCCACACACTTATCACTGTGGCAGCTAAATCTAGGTGGACTCCTGTAACTCCTCCTCTCCTAATGGCCAATAGCTGAGCAATACCAATATGGTACAAATATATTCATGAAACAGAGAAAAACAAGTCATAGTTCAAATGTAAAGTCGACAACACTGGCAGCCAATCTCCAGAGGATTTTTTTCCCATAAAGGCAAGTTTTTCATCCAGTCTTTTAATTGTTCATGACCACAATCAGTTCTGAGAGGTCGAGTAGCCTTTTTACGAAAAACCACAGGCTTTTCTTCTCCATCGTTCAGTAGTTGAACTTCCCTGCCTGGTTGACAGGCGAGCTAGCAGGGATGAACAGCGGTTTGGGTGGGACATCGGGCTTGAGCGAGGCTGTCCGACGGACAATAGCTCCACGGTGGACTTCTGGCTGCTCGCTGTAGCTATGTTGGCGAGTTAGGTATCCATTAGGGATGAGTGGGTGCCGTACGTCGCAACCCGAACTGCTGCCGTTAGAGTTCATTCGAGAGAGCAGGAGGGGCTGATGGGCGCTGCGCTGGTTGAAGCTGTGTTGCCGTGGCACCACGCCCCCGCTGGGCATCTTGGGAGTGGTTATCAAAGAGTGCCGTTGAGACGGGTGACGGGACACTCTCTCTAGAGTAGATTGATGATGGGGAGGAATCTCTGGTGGGACATCCATGCGGCGAGTTAGACTGTCCCGAGGAAGCGTGGAGGAACTGTAGTACGGTGCAGACTCTGTTTCTGGGATCTGCGGCTGTATGCGGTTTGCGAACACCATCTGACCAGCGTTGGCTGACATTGACGAGGTGAGGACAGTGGGACTCTTGCCTGTAGCCACATTGATTTCGTGGATGTGTTTCAGAAGCTCGTCGAGTGAGGTGACGTCCACAATCTTGTGTGGGTAGCAGTGATATGGCTGGCTTGCCATACGCTCCACATTGTGGACTTTGCGTTCCTCCATGTGTGCTGAGCTACCTAGTACTTGTCCGTTGGTCAGTCCTTGGGAGAAGGGGAAAATCTGATGCTGCATTCCAGTGGTTGGCCGAGATGCTCCCATGTTATGGGACTTGGGTTCTTTAGCATTATTGCAGTTTTGATTCTTCTCCCATTGGTTCTTGAAGGCCTTCATACTCTTGATCGGGAGCTCTGGCGTCGAATCAGGCGTGGGAAGGCCAGAGAGCTCTGCAGAGTGGTGATGATGTGGGTGAATGAGTTCTGTCATGGCAGCATGATGGGCATTCCTGCGATGCACCTGCTCTTTTCCATTCGCAAAGAAAGAGTTGTAGAGTTTGGGTGAAGATACCTCCAGCTTCTCGTCTTTGTTTTGGCTCTCCAGCAAGCCGTTTAGCTTGGCCAGGCTGCGCAGGGATAGAGCATGTGGGATTGGTGCTTCTGGATCTTTCGACAGCCTTTTGGTCTTGTTCACGTTGTGGTTGCAGTAACAGGAAACGAGGAATCCGGAGAGGAAAGCTCCCAGGACAAACGCCACCAGAACACACGCAATGAGCAGAGTGTAGTGAACACTGTGGTTGGACTTATCTACCTCAGGGGGTCGGCGCACTCCTGCAGAGAGGGGAAGAGAGCGAGATGAGTGCACTGTAAAGACACAGTGAGGTGCCAGTTAGGTTAGCTTTTAACAGTTTGAGAGTCTGTAGAGTTCTTAGCAGACTTCTATTCATGTTAGAAACTGCTGACAAACAAAGCAGAGCGCTGGCTTAGCAGGCTGTTCAGAATCAATCTGCAAATGCTCATTGGTTCAACATCAAATAGCGCTAGAGCCTCAAGAACAATTGCTAATGGTCTTGTAGGGAGCTAAGTGGTTCTCTCATTAGCCACAGTCTCAAGAGCAGCAGTGCTATGTGCTTGACTCACAGCTGATTGTGCTGTTCTACACTGAGCTGCATATGGCGTTAAGGTGGTGCGAAAATGATATGGAGATGTTTTCAGTGACTGCAAATTAAAATGAATGCACAGACCACCTTACGGTCTTAATGAGCTGAGGGTAGAGGTGATTTCGCTAACATGTGCATGCTCAGATAATTAGTAACTCCCACTGCCTTCTGCGCAGTCAGCCTTTCCTTGTTTTTCTCATTTTTCTGTTATTCTTTATTTATAAGAGAGCCAGTAAACGGAAAATCTGCTGTTAGAGGTATTTTACATCTAGAGTTATTTTACAATGAGCTGTAAGCTGCTTTGGTAAAAAAGTGTCAGCTTAGAAACTAAATGTTATGTCTTGATTAATTTTAATACAACAAAGACACCATGAAATCAATTGACGAGCACAGATTCCTTTACAGTGTTAATGTATTGGAACTGGAAATTTGGGCGGGACATGTAAAATGGCTCGTCTTACTTTTGTAAAAGCAGCCTATGATTTATTTATACACATCACAGCCATGAAAGTGAAGAGAAGTGAAAGAAAGCAAGATAGATAGATGGATGGATACAAAGATGAAAATAAATGAACAAATAATACATAAATAAAAGCTAGATAACTAATAACGCTAGTAAAGTTAAAGCTAGAAAAAAGAATAGCTAAATAAATGCTTATAACTTGCTAATCAAAGCTAACATACAGGAAGTAAATTCGTATTTTGAGCCCTATTTTAAAATAATAAAAAGATATTCATGGAAAAATGTTCAAATATCTGTTTATTACAATTTATTACACCTTTATCTTATCAAATGAAAATGTCTACAGGGCAACATTTGTTGCACACTGTAGAGAGCCAAAACTAAAGATAGCTTAAAAGATGTTATTAGCTGCTTAAGACTTTTGGCAAGGCCAACAAAGTCTTACTGATGCTCACGTCAGCGAACAGCAATGGCAAACACAACACAGTGTAAGAACAGAGTGGGTGGACCACCGTTTGTGAGTTATCGAGTTAGGGAGAGAGCGAGTGAGACACTATTGTGCTTTTTCTAGCTGCTGCAAGCAAAAATACAACTATGAATGCATAATAACTCTATGTGAGAAAACAAGGATAATCTTCCTTCAGGCATCAATACAAACACATTAGCAGAGCAGCAACTGTGCTTTGCTAGCTATAGCAGGTGGAAAGCTTCCCGCCAACTAAATTCTCTCCTGTAAAAATGTTTCTGCCTAACTGTTTATAGATGCAAACCAGAATGAGTTATAGCTAAGTAAACTTCTAAAAGAGTAGCCTAGTGCGCATACATCTCCATGTCTCACAGAATAGTTACTGGAAGCATGTAACTTTTTTTTTGTTCTTTTAATAAGATGGGGTTTCTGAGGCATCATAACTGACATGTTTAATGTTTACATACAACAGAATCAATCTTCTAATACAGTGTTTCCCAACCGGGGTGCCGTCTGTCGAGAGCAGTGGTGCCGTGTAAAAAAATCATTTTTTAATATTTTTAAATTGCTAAAATGTTAAAAAAAGCATCTATTATATAATATCCATTTCTGATGTCGCCAATAATTAAGAGATGCACCAAAATTTCGGCTGCCGGAAATTAGCTCACCTCTCAGGTTTCACTTTCATGTGGTA